TGCCAAGTGTATGCCTGGAAACTGTGTCATAAAAATGGATTACCATTAAGTATATTGGGTTTTCTTAGGGAACTAATGGGGGTGGCATTACTGGACATCAGATAAATCCAGATTTACCCAGCATATGTCAAAATGTAAAAAAAATAATGGTGACCCTTTGAAATAGTAAAATTATGTTTAGTATCCTGCCAAATGTGTACAATGGTGCTGTGTCTGTTGGTTATACCAATGGCCCTAATGTCTCTGTTAATTTAATAGTGATGTGAAGTCCTACATTCAGGATAAAAAACAAAAGCCCACATACACAATAGGGAATGCTTAGCTAGACATGCTAAAAAATATGCTTATGTATGTATAAAATAAGGGCTCAAGTTGATAAATGGGCAGTTTTGATGAGCCACCAGATTCAAGGAGGCCCTAGTGAGACCAGCTGTTCCACGGTCAGATCTGGTATAGCTGAAGATGAGCATGTTCCATGAAGCTGCAATTCCACTTCTTGGCAACGTACATCCTGAATGTGGGCTCTGTCCACATGTGCGTGAGAATGCTCGAGCGCCGTGGGAAGCACTAAATGTCTGTGAGCTCCGAAAGGAATACATACATGAAGGAATATTCATACAATGAATTAATTAAAATGAATGAAATAAATCTACAAAAATAAATCTTAAAGATAAATGTCAAGTTTCAAAAAAGCAGGTTGCAAAAGAATATAGACAGTATGATAGATACCATTTGTATACATTTTTTTAAATTCACAAAGCAAACAGAAAAGCATAAAAACATAGATGCAAGGAATTTTTACCATCTACAGGGAAGAAAGGGATGGGAATAGGGTGGAGGGCTTTAGTTGTATCAGAAATACTTTACTTCTTTATTTAAAAGTATCCGAAGTAAATACGGCAAAAATGTTAACATCTATTAAATTTGAGTAATGGGTACATGGGTATGTATTTTATTATTTTCTATACTTTTGCTCTATCTTTGAAATATTTCTTAACTTTAAAATAAAGTATAACTTTAAAATAAAGTATTTTAAACACATTAATCATGGCTAACTAAATTTTAAATACTGTAGTTTTAGCTTCCTCCAAATTTATTTTTTAAATGTATATTATAAAAGTACTGTAATCTCAGCGCCTTTGGGAGGCTGAGGCAGAGGGATCACTTGAGGCCAGGAGTTCAAGACCAGCCTGAACAACATAGCAAGGCCCCATCTGTACAAAAATTTAAGGAAAAAACTAGCTTGGCATGGTGGTGTGTGCTTGTATTATAGTCCCAGATACTTGGGAGGCTGAGGATCGCTTGAGCCCAGGAGTTTGAGGTTGCAGTGAGCTGTGATCGTACCACTGTACTCCAGCCAGGGTGACAGAGCGGGACCCTGTCTCTAAAAAAAAAAAATAAAAAAGTAATATAATCTATTAAATCAGTTTTGGAAAAGTAGAAAAAATAGATAACTTAGAATCTTATCACTCAAAACAGCCATAATTGATGTTTGGTCTGTTTCCTTCCACTTTTTTTTTCATTGTGTGGAGTATGTGTGTTTAAACATATTTCTAAGCATCTTGAATCCTGCCTTGTTCATTCATTACAGTATAACCCTTTTCCACGTTATGCCTTGGCTTCCATGAACATCATTTTTACTGACTTCCATTAAAGGTCTCCCACAGCATACTTAACCAGCACCATTTTTGCATAAAAAGTCATGAACGTGCAATGGTCACATAGTCTTAAACATAATCCTTAAACGAGATTTCTACAAGGCTGTTCGGCATGGATGATGCTAACAAGGTCTGTCACATCTGTGGGATCGCATTCCTGTGAGGACTGAGCTTGTCAGCATCATCCCGTGGGTGGGACCTGTGCATATGAGAAAAGCCAGCTCAGTGTGTGTCTCGCCTGAGAGCAAACAGGTGCTGAGCATCCAGTGTCTGCTGTGGGCTCAGGAGCCTGCAGCTGGGGCAGAGTTTGCTGATGCTGTGAAACTCTTGTTTTCAGTCCTGTGGTGACAACAGTAATAATTATTCCGGATCCTTATGTGCCCTTCCCAGCTTACCAATGCTCTCACACCCAGTGCCACCTGACCCTCTCGGGGGCATATGGCTGCTTCTGGATTACAGCCCATAGGTGGGAAAGTCAAAACTACCACCCAATGCTTCAGACTCCTTCCAGAACTCTTTTCAGTTCCCATCCTTAGACCCAGGCAAGACCAGCCTCTGCCCTGGGCTCTGGACTCTGGGAGACCCTCCTCGGGCCCTCCAACAACTTGTACCCCTGCCCCATGGGTCTAGGGGCCATGTCTGCCCAGAGCCCACTCGCCCAGTCCTAGACTACACTCTGGGTCCTTGGGATTCCCTGACAGATGGCCCTGAGCATTTCCAGGGCCTACACAAACCTGAATCTGTCCTCCTGGAGGACAGACCACCAGTAGGTGCACACTAGGCCCATGGGCAGCATTTTGCAGGAGGTAGACAGAGCTTAGAACTGTGGGCTGCAGGATGAATTCAGGGTGGGGGGTGTGGGCTGGGGATAGGCACAGAGGCTGAGCCTGACTTTGACTGCAGTGTAGCTCAGAATTGCAAGGACCCCAAGAATTCTGAATTCAAGCCTGGCCCCTCTTGGTCATTCTGAAGATATATTAGACAGAGTTGGGGGATAGAATGTATTCTATGTAACAGTTTGTTAGCTTGAGCTATAACTTTTAAATATTTAGAGATTCAATACTTGGACCTCCTTATCTGCACTTGCTCTGGGACCTGCAAGTATTAAGAATGGTCCTGGTGGCTGGGCATGGTGGCTCACACCTGTAATCCTAGCACTCTCGGAGGCTGAGGTGGGAGGATCATTCGAGGTCGGGAGTTCGAGACCAGCCTCAGCAAGAGCGAGACCCCATCTCTACTAAAAATAGAAAGAAATTAGCCGGGCAACTAAAAATAGAAAAAAAAATTAGCCAGGAATGGTGGTGCCTGCCTGTTTTCCCAGCTACTCAGGAGGCTGAGGCAGGAGGATCGCTTGAGCCCAGGAGTTTGAGGTTGCTGTGAGTTAGGCTGACGCCACGGCACTGTAGCCTGGGCAACGGAGCGAAACTCTGTCTTAAAAAGAAAAAAAAAAAAAAAAAAAGAATAGTCCTGGCTCTTTTATCACACTGTGCTGTTTCCAGGTTCCTGTTTTCTCTCCAAGGCTGCAGATGTACTGCGGGGGTGTAAAGCAATCTAGAACCACAGAAAAATAAAACAACTGAGTGTGTAAAACCTCAGTATGTCAGACACCCCCGTATGCACGTGTAAAAGCAAGAAATGCATTTCAGGACAAAATAGAGTACAACCACCTGCTGTGAGGGTGAATCAGCCTGGCGCGATCCAGCAAGACCAGAAATAGAAGGCTGCTAGTAAAGCTACAATCTGCTCTGTGCTTCCCCTTCTCTCCGATTCTCTGCTGCCCCGTCCTGTCTCCTACGTGGAACCACAGAACTGCTACCCTCTGTTGGTCGCTTTAAGCTATGCAAGAAGTCAGACCACTGAGTTCCACAGGATGACACGGGTAATATTCTCAGTGGCCCTGCCAGTGAAAAATCAAGGTTGGAAAATTTGCACTTTAATTGCTGTTGGGCCACTGAACTAATTTTTTTTGCAGCTCCTTATTCCCCAGCAATATTTCTGATTTGTGACCAAGGACTTAATTGCATAAAAGAAGCATGGAATGATTACGACAATGTCATTATGTTCTTTTTCTCCCATACAGAAAATAGAGATAAACATCGAAGTTCTGAAAATCCACGTTAGGACACTTTACCCAATCCATTCCATAGGTGACATCTTGCTTGACTTTCACAGCTGCCCCACTTGTATAGGTAAAGAATCCGCACCTCAGCGAAACTCAGTAACCCGGCTGAGATTATCCAGCTAGGAGGCGGCAGGGCAGGGACTTGAACCTGGAGCTGTGATTCCAAACCTGTGTAAGGATTCAGATAGGAAAACAGGACTTTTTCAACTTATTTCATCAGAAAAAAGAATCGCCTTATATTAGGGTCCTCACGAAGATCATATTATGGGGCTCTCTCTCACTGATGTCAATTTTAATGACAAAATTTACTGTGTTGTTTGGGAACAACACATTAGCCTGAAATAGCCTTTGGTCAGTGCTAGTCTTGGAAGTTCACGGAAGTCACCTGGCCAAATTGGTTTTTAAATAGTTGAGGGGGGCAATCTTTAATACAGATTGAGTAATCTTTCCTCGGGGTATACACTTTGTGATTATGAGTGGTCTTTTAAAGATTTCTTTTTAAAGAGGTATCTTGCGAAGATTGTGCATAGGGTGAATCTTCACTACATACATGCATCTAAAACATGCTCTGTCTCAAGATAGCTGGAGAAAAACTGAAGATAAAGACCCTGATGTTGAAGATGCATGTGAAAAGTTTGAATAAAATTGCCTCATGAAATTTGAGAGAATAAAACAAAACAATATATCTAAATTGACATTTTACACATTATGGTTTAAGTATATGTGTGTAACTAAATTAGTAAATAATATAGACATTTAATTATGTCATCTATATTATTATATTATACTAGATTATATTATATATTATGTTACAGTACATTATATATCGACATTTTAATGTCGTCTGTATATTTGAATTGGCTAGAATTTGTTTAGGGAGAGAATCTTCTCATTGGGAAAATTGGGTTGGTCTTAGGCTTGGTGACACGCTAAGTGGGTTTTCCAAAGTGCCACGCTGAACCCCAAGCTGAGGAAGAAGCAGGTTTGTGGACCCAGAGTAAAGATGAAGGTCACCTGTCACCCAGAGTAAAGATGAAGGTCACGTATTGGCTCCCGCACCTCTGTACAGCTCCTGACAGTTTCCCAAACATTGTTGCAGCCTGTTGTGAGGCAGGATCTGTGGGTGTCCTGAATGTACCCCCAGGGACCGTGTCTCACCATGTCAGTGGCGTGGGTGCAGGCAGAACTGTGATGAGACTGCCTTTTCCCATCCCCCTCAGGCAGCGCTTGTTGGAGGCACCACCATGATCATCGGCCACGTCCTACCCGACAAGGACACCTCCCTCGTGGATGCCTATGAGAAGTGCCGGGGCCTGGCTGACCCCAAGGTCTGCTGTGACTACGCCCTCCATGTGGGGATCACCTGGTGGGCACCCAAGGTAACGGCACAAGGAGGCTCAGTGGTCTTACAGATAGCGGAACTGTTTGGTCTAAGCCAGCTAGGGTGTGGTGCCCTCCTGCCCGTGTGGGGCACCTCTCCCACCAATATTGTGTCCCTCCCCAATGGCAAAAATCAAAACCACTTAGGATTCCATAAGGGGAGTGGATGGGCTGTCTTTCCTAACTTAAGGAGCCTGTTTTAGAGCAGGCACATAGAGCCCTGCTCTGCAACAAAGAGGCCAAGGCCAGAGGCCAGGCCTTGCTCTCACCGCAAGGTGCTTAGCATCTCCTGATGTTTACATGAGGCGTCACCTCATGGCAGTGCTGCCGGACAGTGGGCTGAGCAAGGCTCAGGTGCAGTGGGACTGTCGTATTTGTACTGAGAGTCGACAGCACTGAGCCGAGCTCTCCAAATTGAGGGCTTCATCCTAGTTCAGCAGCACCTGGTATAAACGGACCCAGGTGCACCCCCTCCCTACTGGGGCCCAGCTCCTACTCTGAGGAGCACTGAGGCTGTCCTGGTCTGTGGCTGAGTCTGCTCCCACAGAGCCCTTCCTCGGTCCAAGCCTCTGCACCTTCTTTGTGTCTGTGCCCCTGGCCTCTGGCCTTCCTGTCCTCCCCCTGCCAGGTCCCAGGGTCTGAATCTAGTCTCCTGTCCCCAGATTCCTGCTTCCTTGCTCTTCCTGAAAACAGATATACAGGCATTTAGATATTGCTTTGTTTCTGGAGTTTTACTGCTTATGCTTTAGGGAAGCAGCCTGGATATTCATTCTGTCATCAATTATTTATTAAGTCCCATGTGCCAGTACATTGGTGGGTGCCCTGGAACCATAAAAATAACAAGCATCAGGAAGTTATACAAAGTTCTTCAGTCGTAGACCCTGGGCTAAGGGCCATTTAACTCCTCGCTGTACTTCTGCCCTCAGGTTTTAGCCTGGAGCTGGGGGCTTACCCAGTCTCTTCCATTTTTCCTGACCTGGTGCTTATGGAAGGCCTTGGGGCTCCCTGATCTCTGCAGCATGAAGGCCCCTCTTCCTGGTACCAGGCCAGAGGCACAGATCACACTGAGTGTCAGATGGGGGTCTCCTTTTTGGACACCTTCCTGGGCAAGTGGCCCCTACCCCCAAGCCCCTCTCCATTCCCTTGCCCTGGAGTTGGCTTGGAACAGAGGGTCGCTCAGGTTCCTGGCAATGCCGAGGCCAGGCCAGCCATCCCTCAGTTCCCAGAGGTGGTGGGGACTCTCATGTGTCTAGAATTTTAAATTCTTTTTTATAATAATCAAATAAATTTTTCTAATTACAAATGTTAAAAATAGGAAAGAAAGGAAGCACATAATCCAATAACCCAACACAATGCCCATTGTCAGTGTAATTTCCTTCTTCCCAGTCGCTTTTCATGCTGTGTAGTCTTCATGGCCATCAGTGTAATGGCCACCGAATGTTCCATCAAGTAGATGAATCTGATGTTATTTTCCCATTGTCAGGCCAGTGCTGCTTCCATTTTTTTTTCCCCAGTATAACTAATGTTGGGATGAATATCCTTATTCCCATAGCTTTATCCATGCTTTACTTTGTTCCTAAATTCGATTTTTCAGGTTCTCTGGATTTTTAGCGTTAGTGTGCCTTCTCTGTAACACTGCTGCCATTATGGGTGCTGGGGGAGCAGGCCACAGGAATAAAAATCGTTAATGCTGTGTTCATCATTAAGGCTGGTTTGAAGGCAGAAACGCAGGCCAAGCCTATGTGATAGGAGAAACGTGCCTATAATGTGTAACAATATGGTTCCTATAATGGTGTCATGCTTGACGATTTTCAAAGGACTTCTGCATCCATTTGCTCAGGTGACCTCACAGCAGCCTGTGGGGTGGGAGGAAAGAGAGAGAGAGGCTGTGGGTGGCCATGCGGTGACTCAACCAACTGAGCTTGGGCGGGCCCCTCATCTCCTCCATGCGGGGCCTGCGCCTGCCAGTCCGCCTCCTGAGCGTCCGTGTTCACGTGGCATCGCCTTTACGTTTGCTCCCCAGGTGAAAGCCGAAATGGAGACGCTGGTGAGGGAGAAGGGTGTCAACTCGTTCCAGATGTACATGACCTACAAGGACCTGTACATGCTTCGAGACAGCGAGCTGTACCAAGTGTTTCACGCTTGCAAGGACATTGGGGCGATCGCCCGCGTCCATGCTGAAAACGGGGAGCTGGTGGCCGAGGCAAGTGTGCAGTAGAGAATGTCAGATGAGGGGGCAACAATGGAGCCAGTTCTCAGGGGGATTCCTGACCACCCCTCACTGATCCTATAGGGTTCAGGTAAAACAGGTTGTAGAACAAAGTGTAAGGTATGAACATCCCAGATGACAAATCTTGATCAGAAAATCCAAACTTTTCTACTGTCTGTAAAAAAAAAAAACCTCTCTTTATGGTTCAAAAAGATTTCTACGTCTTAGGTGATAATGTCTTAATTCTTATGCTATGATATTTAAATTCCATTATAGCAGAGAATTGGAGCACTTCTTAGAAATGTTTTTAATGAGATTTGACATATTGAATAAATAAGAATCAGCTTTCCACTTTCCTTTCCCTCTGTAGAGGGGCTGAGATATTATGGAAATCTGTTCACTGGAACCAAGAAAGACAAGCCTCTGTGTACTTGGGGGTCTTGGGGTAACAGCTGCCCCAGGAATTGCTGGAACCTAGAGACTTGTCTAGATTTGCCAGTGAGGAAATTCTGAGTTTCAAACCAGTCAAGAGTGCTTGTCTTTTGTACCCCAGGCCTGCTGGCTAGTCACTGAGCTGTATTTTTAAGAGAAAAAGATATGTCCAGTCATTTCGAAGTGAGAATCAGGACAGCCCTGCTACACAGGCCTGTGCGTGCCCTGCCCTTTAGAAGATGAACCTTCCAGAATTGAGAATAGTAGCGAGCCTGCTGGAACAGGCTGTGTCAAGCGGATTTTAGTCCCTCGGGTCCAGTGTTTCCTTACTCAGTGTCTCTATGAATCTTTCAACTTTCTGTCTCTTGCTGTTGTTCAGGGTGCTAAGGAGGCACTAGATTTGGGTATCACAGGCCCAGAAGGAATCGAGATCAGCCGCCCAGAGGAGGTGAGAAAGACTCTGTGTCCTTTGTTGACATTTTTCATGTAGATTCACAGAATCTTTTAGGATAGAAGAGACATCAAAAATATAAGTTGTATCCCTTTCTCCATGGGAGAAATTCCCATCTGGAAGCTTACCAGGGAACAGCTCCTCCATGCTGAGACCAGGTTGGCCTTGAGCTTCCTTGGAGGAGACAATTAGGGGGGCCCACACTCACCCATTTGATTCTGATTTCCGGGATCTGGGGGAGACAATGTCAGCACACCAGCGGGTGCTTTGCCCAACACAGAGTCGGGAGACAACAGACAGACTGAAAGGCCTGCAGGCGTGAGAAGGAATTCCAGAACAGGAGCCAAGCATTTCGGGGATGAGGTCCCTTTGTGCCTCGAGGAATACTTTGGACCCTTCCCACCAGAGACAAGAGACATACATGTCCATGCTCCCTCCCCCTTATGCTGAGATGGTCACTAAAGGCCCTGTTCTCCTTCTGCCCCCTGGGTTTATTGCGTACAGTGTTGCAGGGCATTGACACAAACTCCCCACAGTCTGCCTGCTAAATAATTCTGCCCTGGAGGGACCACACTGGACAAGTAATGCCTTCTTGCCCTGTGACCCTGTTCAGACATTCTCTAGCATGTGTGGGGAGAAAGCCTTAAATGCAGAGCGTTGGTTGGATGTCCGTGAGGGACACAGGATGTGGTGGCACTGCCATCACTCAGGAACACGTTGGCCCATAATGGGCTGGCTGGGGAGTCCCACCTACTTCTGCCCTCATCTGTCCCTGTCTGTCAGAGCCCTTGAACACAGATCCTGTTTTGGCACCTCCAAATTGGTAGAGAAAGACCCAGCAAGTGCACCGAGGGGCCGCCTGTGAGAGCAGGAGTGAGGAGGCGGTGGCCACAGCACTGGGCTTTCTTTGTTGAGTAACACAACGGAGACAGCAGGCTTTGGCTGTAGTGGTGGTAACAGCAGTAATAAACACCACCGTCATCTGTTGGTTAAAGAAGAGGGTCCTGGGGCTACGCCAGGGGAGAGTTTGCTCCCCAGGGAACATTTGGCCATGTCTAGAGATATTTTTGGTTGTCCCATCTGGGGGAGGATGACGCTACTGGCATCTAGTAGGCAGAGGCGAGAGATGCCGCTGAACGTCCCGCAGTGCACAGACAGCCCCGCTCAAAAGAATTATCCAACGCAAAACGCCAGTAGTGCTGAGGCTCTGACTCCCTGATCGAGGCTAATTTCCAGCTTGAAATCAGTCACTTTTGCTCCTTCTGCAGTTCTGAGGTGGCTGTGGAAAGAATGTACCAGAAAACAGGGAGAGATGTGACTCTGGGTTTTCATTTATTTAATTTTGTTTCATTGTCTTTGAATTAATCCCTGTGTAGCAACTAGCAAGGATGTGTCTGGCATCTAAGTCCTAGGATTCTCTCAGTGTGCGCCAAGGTGGTCAGAGCCTGGTGCTGCTGCCCAGGCCTTGCCCCGAGCCAGCCCCTGTGGGTGCAGATATTCCAGCACTTTCTACGCAGTGGGCTCTCAGGCAAGTGTGGGCTTGCTTGGAGGAGATGGTGAAGTTTGGTTTCTCCCTACTGTTTGTTTCTAACAGCTGGAAGCTGAAGCCACTCACCGTGTTATCACCATTGCAAACAGGGTAAGTAGCCCACCGTCCACTCTGGGAGTAGAAACCGGCCTCTGCAGTGCAGTCTCATTCTGCTGTGGTGCCAGCACCACGCCTGGCCCACAGGGCCCCAGAACTGTTTGCTGAACCAGCGCCGTTATGCTGCAGTTCTGGCGTGCATCCTTCTTGCTGCCAGCGCTCTGTTCCACCCAGCACTGTTCCACCCCGCTGAGCTTGCTCAAGAGCAGATGGCCCCCCAGGGAGAGAGGGGAAGGTGCGGGGACCACAGAGCCTCATGCAACTGGGATCTGTTTGCTTAAAGAACCATGATTTACACTTACGCCACTGGGCGGGACCATTGTTCTCACACGTTTTTCCTTAGTGTGGTTCAGGGTAAAGCCCCCGAGGGTAGTGAGTGCTGATAGAGTGTGGTGGTCGACCAAGCAAGAGATGTGGCACCGAAGTTCTGGCTTTGGCCTTTACCAAAATATACGCTGTCTGATCACATACAAGTCCCTCAGCCACTCTGATACACTATTTTATTACATTAAGATGAAACTGTAACGATAGTGTGCTAGTCCCCCCTTTATCCGTGGGTGATACGTTCCAAGACCCTCAGTGGATGCCTGAAACCACAGATAGTACCAAACCCTATATACACTATATATATGCATACCCGTAAGTTTTTCCTATACATGCACATGCATGATAAAATTTAATTTATAAATCAGGCACAGTAAGAGATTAAAAACAATAACTAGTAATAAAATAGAGTAATTATAACGATATGCCAGCATCACTACTCTTGCGCTTTGGGGATATTATTAAGTAAAATAACGGTTACTTGGACATAGCACTGGTACCACAACAGTCCATCTGATCACTGAGACAGCTACTAAGTGACTAACAGGGAGCGTGTACAGTGTGGATATGCTGGACAAAGGGAGGCTTCACATCCTGGCCAGAGCGAGCGGGATGGCATGAGATTTCATCACACTACTCAGAACCATGCACAATTTAAAAATTATGAATTATTGATTTCTGGAATTTTCCATTTAATATTTTCAGACCTTGGTTGACTGTGGGTAACTGAAACCATGGAAAGACAAACCCTGGATAAGGGGGGAGTGCTGTGCCACTTTTCATTGGATAGTTGTGGAGATCAAAGGAGCCGAGGAAGGGAAAGCACTTTGTAAACAGTAAAGCACTGTACCAAGGGCACTTCTCCTTCTAAACCATCATTAAACGTTCCCTTCACTCAGATCCTCTGAACTACTTCCTCTAGAGCAGGTGGTTTTCAAAATGTGGTCCCTGGACCAGCAGAACCAACATCACTTGTTAGAAATAGAAACAAATGCAAATTCTCAGGCCCTGTGCAAACCCACTGGATCAGAAACTGGGGGTGAAGCCCAGCAACCTGTGTATTAACAAGTCCCCCCCAATGGTGCCAATGAGCACTGATGCTTGGGAACCTCTCCTGGAACAGCCTGGGCTATCTTGAAAGATGTAAGCAAGAAAGTGTGGTCTTAGGAACAGCAAGGGGAAAACAGAGAGGTTGTAGATCCAGCTGATCTCAGAATTAGTCAGTAAGCTTGTGTTAATAGCATCAAATCTCAGGCCAGTTCCTAAACTTCATGTCCTCCCAATTTGATGAGCAAAGAGGGAATCAGAATAACATTTGGGGAAATAGAGTTTCCCATTAGCACTTTATAGGTCTGGCAGCTGGACAACGACATTGTTTTATTGTCATGACGATGGTTATCTTATCAATTACTTCCTAATGGAAACTTACCCCAGAATAAGGAAAGACTTGAACAACAAAAAGGCAGCTCCTTGTGTTTTAGTTCGAATGTAAACCCAGAGGAGTTAAGTCATTGACCTGGGTGTACAGCTTAGTAGAGAAAAGGCTGATCAGTCTTAGAATCCAAGTGTCTATCCGCAGGGTCAGTCTTGTCTGGCTACACTCTGAAGCCTACCCCACTTGTATTCTGTTCTCCAGGATACGTTCTGTCTACTGATAAGCAGCCTTCAGACAGCAGATGTCATAATTTTAGACGTAGAATATAATACATGACGGTCTCTAGGTCACCACGTTTATGAACAGTAAATTAAAATAGAAAAGACAGTCCCTCCTTTTGAATTGCAGTCATGGTTGTCGTATGGGAGAAAACGTGAGGTTCAGACTCAACAGTCTGGACCCATCATTGCCCCACATTTGGCCTTCCTGGTGGGCGCAGGTGTTGGACGCTGCTCGCTGCCTCCTTGCTTCATTCAGTAGCTCAGCCTGCAGCCATGCTCTGGCTGCCAGCCCTATATTCCCAGCATAAGATTGTCACCTTGAGGGTGAAGTTGAGCCACCCAGGGGAAGGTGCTGGTGCCGGCATTGATTTTGTGGGGGTATTTTGATGCTTGTTGGGTTTATGGGCCGATGCTCCCTACTGCCTGCTGTTTCCTGTGTCTAGACTCACTGTCCGATCTACCTGGTCAACGTGTCCAGCATCTCGGCTGGTGACGTTATCGCAGCTGCTAAGATGCAAGGTGAGTCCTTAGGCTTGGGTGGGCAGTGCACATAATATGGTGGGACTGGGGAATGACAAGGCCCACCAGCTGTGTGCACTCCCTGGCCCTGGCTCCAGGACCTGAACCCACCCTTCCCTTTGCTCTACCACTGTCTTCCTCAGAACCCCTACACTAGCCTGGCTAGATCCTGAGCTGGTTCCTCTGCATGTTTATGGCGTAACAGCTTCACAGAATTGTCTGTCACCTCTCCTCGGTCTGGTACAATTTTCTAAGTTTTAAACTCACTCATTAATCGGTGTCTTTTTGGCCCCTTAGGTTTTACTAGAGGTTGCCATGACAACTCACATAAAATCCTGGACCAAATCCATTGGGCATTTCAAGGGGTGTCTGGGAAGTCCCTGGAAAAAGAACAATGTGCGGGCCCAGGTTCCCTTTACCCTGGAACCCTGTGAGCCTGAGGGGCACTTGTATGGCTTCTATTGCTGGTCGCCTGGCAATTCCTGAAGGCTTTGCAGTTGCCTGTAGCCCAGCCCAGGGTGCTGGTGAGGGCCTGGCAACAAGAGACATGAAGTCATGGTCACAAACCTGGGTGTGTGAAACAGATGCAAGGGCGTCCCAGCCTTCACACCGCGTCCCCCTCTAGATCCCACCCCCTGCCTCTCCCCTCACTGAAGCTCCTTGTGGGGTCCCACCTAGACTGTTGTCCCAACCTGCTGACTGGGCTCCCACCTCCTGTCTCCCTGGCCCCCAGCCCTACTGCGGAGCCCACCCCCAGTGGTTCTCTGAAGCTGCTCACGGCACCTGCCTGTTCAGAAAACAGCCCCGACTGCTCCTTAGCATTCTCCGCCCCGCGTGTCTGTCTACCCACTAGCAAGCCCAGTCTCCCAGCAGCACCCTGCACACACCGTGCTCTAGCCACGCCCAACTCCCCAGAGCACCACTCGGTGCTGCCTGGCTGTGGTGCCTGTACCCTTCTCTTCTCCTTGCGGGCAGTCGGCAGGGGAACAGGGAAGCTCTCTGGGCTTGAGCCCAGCTGTGCTCTCAAACGCCCCAGTGAGCGTAGACAAGTCCCTTCCTGTCTCTGACCTCAGCTCCTTCACTGCAAAATGTGAGTCTCAGACCAACGATCTCCCAGGTTCAGTGGCTTCCTGGTCATGGTTTTGACCCTTCTTCTTCCAGGGAAAGTTGTGCTGGCCGAGACCACCACGGCACATGCCACGCTGACAGGCTTACACTACTACCACCAGGACTGGTCCCACGCAGCCGCCTACGTCACGGTGCCTCCCCTGAGACTGGACACCAACACCTCAACCTACCTCATGAGCCTGCTGGCCAAGTAAGGTGTTTTAGCAGGACTGCTGTGGCCTCCACGGCACAGCCATTCAGGGAGTGTGTAGATCTTGAAGAAGATGTCATAGAGGCCCCAGGAAATAACTCTGACCTGGGATCGATTTTATTATGCCCACAGGATTATCTTGCTTTTATTGCCTTCCCCAGAGCCCACCAGATAACTGCCATCCTGTTGGGCTTCTGTGACCACTTGATTTGGAGTGAGAGCTTCTGAAGTATAAGAGTAAAGAGCATATATAAAACTGTGAACAATGGTCATTCAGACTTATAAGGACATGGATTTCTTACTCTAAAGCCCAGTGGGGAGCTGTAGGATGTGGCCTTTGCTAGAACAAACGGGGTCCTTTCTGTCTCTTCTCTTGACCCCTCTCTCTTTTCTTGCCTCCCACGTTTCCTCTCCTTGCATGTACCTTTCTCCTAGGTTTCTCCCTTCTTTCCTTCCCCTTCTCCCTTTTTCTTCTGCACTTTCTCCCTCTTTCCTCCACCCCCTCTCCCCAGATCTCCTTTCCTCCGCTCCTCTCTTTCTGACACTGCTTTTCCCATTCGATCCCAATTTAAAGAAAATGGTTTGATGAACAGTCTACTCAAGTAGACTCAGGAGATGCAACTCATTTCTATAAGAAAATATGAGCTCCTTCATAATTATCTGCTTTAGGATGTGATTTGTTAGGCTATATAGGAATAAGATGTATCATACAATCTATAGATATAAGGATTTGTTCTTTATTTAAAATCTGACTTCTTAAAGGGACCAGAATTTTTTTTATGTGAACATGTAAAGTTTTAAAGTACTTGACAAAGCCAGTCGTGTTTTAAACTTGAAGCAATTTGGGTGGGTGTTCCTGTCTCCCAGATTCAGGGCAGCGTTGGGAGACTTCTGGAACGTGCCCATATTCATTCACTCCTGCTTAGGGGGCACCTACTTGTGTAGGAGCTTTTTGTAAGAAAGTGGGGTGCTCAGTAAGACCTGTTGGTTAAAGAATGGGAGCTGAGCCTGTTGTTCTCGGGGTCCCGACCTGCCCCAAGGAGCAAGTGAAACCCATCCATCTCTGGTGGGTTCTGCAGGTCCAGAATGTGGGGACCCTCAGGGTCTCTAGAACACACCCTCTGCTCTGTGACAGACTCTCCACGGAGCGTCCGAGAGGGCCCAGAGCAGCTTCTCTGGCCCAGGACGATACCAGCACAGAAAGAGCTAAGACATCTGACTGCGGGTTTGGCCAGAGACGCTGGTCATCTGGCAAGAGCTGTGACTGTTGAGTCCTGCCAGGCCCCTATGGGGACAGCCCTGCATGCAGCCTGACTGGCTGTCGTCTGAGAGCCTCAAGAATATGCTTCCTCACCAGGTCAAATAATGCCTTCTGCTCCCAGATTGTCCTTCCAAAGCAGGCGTCTTAGATGGTGCACACGCGCTCACAAGGCTTTGGTGCCTCCTGCAGAGTCAAATGACTCCTCACTGACCCTCAGGGCTCCCACCGTGTGGCCCTAGCAGTTGTGCCTCTCCCACCTGACTCCCCTGTTCCAGCCAGCCCCTCCCTGCCCTCCAAGGGCTCTTCCTCCCGAGGTGGCCCAGGCCTAGCTAAGTGGGCATCCTCTCTCCTCTGTACCTCGCTGCCTCTGAGCGTTGGCTACAGAGATCTCTGCACATGGGCCAGCTGCCTGCCTCCCTCATTTTGCATAAGGTCTGCTGCCGTGTGCCCTCTCTCTGTGTCCTGCCCCAAGTCTTAGCTAGCTGGGAACCCCTCCAGGGCCTGGCTGTGCCTTGTCCACCCACAGCCTTAATTTCCATCTGAGGACCACAGTCCTGGACAGCACAAGGGTGAACCGACCGACTTGCACACCACCATTGGTTTATAAGTCTGGCTTCTTTTCTGTCTTGTCCCTCCTTCCCCTTCTAGGCCATTAGAGCCCCCACATCCAAGGACGGCTTGGGTCTGAGTTGTTTAGCAAAGCTTAACACTGAATTGTGAATGCTCGTGGCCAGCAGGTGGGGGTCAGGGAGCCAGTGAGAGGGAGTCAGCACGTGATTCCGTGATGCTGAAACCACCTCCACTGTCTCTGTAGCTAAACCCTAAGTTCTGTTTTTCTCTGCCCACTATGTAAACTCTTAAAAATTGCCATCCCAAAGGTTCTCACCGAAGTCTCTTGTGACATGGATGGTCTGTGCCACACTCCTCGAGAATTGCCATTCTGTAGATGAACAAACAGATGCACGTAGATGAAGGAACTCACTAGAGATCACAGAGCTACTAGGTGGCAGAGCTGAAATCGGAATTAGCTTTGCCTTGTTCCCAAGCCAAGGCTTCTTCCCTGTGCCTGTCCCCATCCTCTGGGGTCCTGACCCCTCCTCCCCTTACTGGCCACGTCCTTCTTTCTACCCAGTGACACTCTGAACATTGTGGCATCAGATCACCGGCCTTTCACCACGAAGCAGAAGGCTATGGGCAAGGAGGATTTCACCAAGATCCCACACGGAGTGAGTGGCGTGCAGGACCGCATGAGTGTCATCTGGGAGAGAGGAGTGGTATGTGTTCTGGGCCCCGTCCCTGCTCTAATCCTAGCAAGAGTTTTCACCCCACAGATCCTGTCAGAGAGCATTCTTGGAAGGGCTGGTTCAAGCCCAGCTCTTTGCTTCACGCAAAAACGAAACAAAAAAGGTCTTTATCCCCCAATTAGAAAGGTAATAAGACCTATTATAGAAATTTGTAAAATACAAAAAAAGTATTAGAAAAAAATTCCCATAAATTAATACCTAGAAATTAAACTACTGTTAACATTTTGGTGTATTTATTTCTAGTTCTATGCACGTACTATACATTATTTTAACAACTGGGTTTATCTTTTTTCTTTATATAACAGTATACCTTGAGTGTCTTTTTTTTTTTTTTTGAGACAGAGTCTCACTGTATTGCCCGGGCTAGAGTGCCATGGAGTCAGCCTAGCTCACAGCAACCTCCAACTCCTGGGCTCAAGTAATCCTTCTGCCTCAGCCTCCCGAGTAGCTGGGACTACAGGCATGCGCCACCATGCCCGGCTAATTTTTTCTATATATTTTTAGTTGTCCGATTAATTTCTTTCTATTTTTAGTAGAGATGGGGTCTCGTTCTTGCTCAGGCTGGTTTCAAACTCCTGAGCTCAAACAATTTGTCCGCCTCGGCCTCCCAGAGTGCTAGGATTACAGGCGTGAGCCACTGCGCCCGGCCTTACCTTGAGTGTCTTAAGTCAGTAAAAATATGTAAAAAGGTTTTTAAAGATGTCTTTAAAAACATCTTTTTTCATGGCTGAATAATATTTCTTCCAGGGGAAGTACCATACTTTATTTAATCCTTCCCTGATGTTTGGAACTTTTGGCTGTTTCCAGTTTTTGCCCTTACAAATGATGCTATAGAGAACCTCTTTGTTGATGAGGGTTTGTCGGCTTTCTAATTATTTCCTTAGGACAGATTCTTAGAAGTGGATTTTTGGCCCAAGTGAATATGAATATTTTAAGGCTCTTGATATATTTTGTCTAGTTGCTTTCAAAAAGATGGGGCCTGGGACTTCATTTGAACACCACCCGTTCTGCCCACGAATAAGTGTTTTTGGTCTTGATCTACCGTGGGTTAGATTCAACACAAAGTATGAGCCCCAAAGAGATTTAAAGTCCTCAAGACTAAGCTCATGGAAAGCCTAGGAGATGGCTCGGGAAGTCCCCTTAGAAGAGAGTCCCTGTGCTTCCGTGGGTGGGGCAATAAGATGCTTTTCCAGAGCACAGATTATATCACCCTTTGTAGATGCAGGGAAGTGCCTGACTCATCCGTAGTGGGCACGTGAGCAGAGCTGGTTTTATAAATAGGAGGTAGATTTGCACCAGGTAGGCAGCCTTTTGGAACAAAGGCCCACTCACCGTTGTTGCTGGATAAAAAGAGAAAGGCGGAAGTGAGCACAGGGGACAAGCGTGGTGGCTCATCTGAGTTGGTGCCCACAGCACTGACCTCCTTGGGACTATGGTTCTGACCAGCTAAGCTAACAGGTCCCAGGCGGGCATCAGAGGGGACTGGGGTGTGAGGCACCACCCCAGCCTGGTTGACTTGACACTTGCGCCATGTTTCAGGTTGGAGGAAAGATGGATGAGAACCGTTTTGTGGCTGTTACCAGTTCCAACGCCGCTAAGATTCTCAACCTGTATCCCCGCAAGGGCCGCGTCATCCCCGGTGCCGATGCCGATGTGGTGGTGTGGGACCCAGAAGCCACAAAGTAAAATTTGCTGCTGGTCTCCAGGGCTGGGGGGACTTGGGATTTTACAGAACTGGTATTACAGAACTCCAAAGGCGTATAATCTTTGCAACTGCTTCTAGCATGGAGAGTTTGACCCCAGCTTACCCACGGCCATCTCTCCTCTGTGCACACATGTCTGGGGTTTCAACCTCCTCTTCTTATAAGGACACCAGTTAGACTGGATTGGGGCCCGCCTATATGACTTCATTTTACCTGAATTATCACATTTAAGGCCCTATCTCCACATGTGGTCGCATTCTGAGGTACTGGGGGTTGGAGGACTTCAACATAAGTATTTCGAGGGGACCCAATTCAGCCCATAACAGCCAGGCTTTGAGGGTCGCCCTTCCCATTGAGCTGCGACATCTTTACCTCTCCTTAGAGCTTTCTCTCCGCGTTGCCTCCCCACCAGGACCATCTCAGCCAGCACCCAGGTGCAGGGAGGAGACTTCAACCTGTACGAGAACATGCGCTGCCATGGCGTGCCGCTGGTCACCATTAGCCGCGGGCGCGTTGTGTACGAAAACGGGGTCTTCATGTGTGCTGAGGGCACCGGCAAGTTCTGTCCCCTGAGGTCCTTCCCAGACACTGTCTACAAGAAGCTGGTCCAGAGAGAGAAGGTAAATCCAGGGCGGGAGGAGGACGTGTGGGAAGAGGTTGGCACCCCTGCTGGGGGGCATCTTACATGACTGTTTTAAATCTCATGGGTGTTTTCACTCTGTTTTTCTACCAAATTCTGTTGCCATCTATCCAGTATTGAGAGGGCAGGGTGTGACAGGACAAGGAAGAGTCAGAAAATGCTGATTTCTATTCCCCATCTTTGACTACCAGATAGAATTTTAAATGATCAGGCAAACAGGGAGTCTTGGAATTCCTGGAGGCACAAGAGGGAAATGTGAGTGTATGTGTGTGTGTGAGTGTGTATGTGTGTGTGTGTGTGTGTGTGTGTGTGTGTGTGTGTGAGACCTCTGCGTTCCTCTTGATGTGCAGGCTCAGGGGTGCCCCTGGAGTTACAGCCGCTACCTGGTTCCCTCACACTCTTGCTGTAGTAAGCGGTGGTAGAACTGGTGTTTGAAAAGCCATCATCTATAGCGTTGGAGTAGCAGGCATATTAACACAAAAGATCCACTCTGTGGCACGCTTTCCACATGTGAAGGCCCAGAGCTTTCAGAGAAACTAAGGCCAACAGTCGGAAGCAGTCCAGAGCCTGGCCTGCTGTTGGGGAGCAGGCCTGGGCTGTCTGGAGAAAGCATGACTTCAGTTATCACACTGTGAAATCCAAAAGCAAACCCAGGGTAGGTGAATGGTCAAATCTCCAATAGGCTTCCCAGATGTGGATGATGCACAGGAGCCTCAGCCCTCCCCCTGCAGAATGTGCTAGACAGAGCTAGGAGAGCAACGTATTCACTCGTTAGAATACTGACAAAGGGTGGTTCTGATCAAAGAACATGGAAAATAACAAGTGTTGGTGAGGATATAGAGAGATTGGAGCCCTCATTCTTTGATGGAAAGAATGTAAAATGGTGCAGCCACTTTGGAAAACAGTTGGGCAGTTAAATGTAGAGTTACCATACGACCCAGCAATTCCATTCTCAGGTACATACCCAAGAGAAATGAAAACATACATCCACACATGTATGAACTTGTGCGTGATTGTTCATAGCAGCATTACTCGTAAAGGCTAAGAAATGGAAACAACTGAAATATCCATCATCGGTTGAATAGATAGATTGTGCTATATCCACCCAACAGAATATTCTCCAGCCATAAAAAGAAATGCAGTACAGAGATAAATGCTACATACAACTTGATGAACCTTGAAACATTATGCTTAATGAAAGAAGCCAGACGCAAAGGCCATATATTGTATGATTCCATTTATATAAAGTGTCTGGAAGAGGCAAATCCATAGAAAGTAGATTAGTGGTTGCTTAGGGCTGGGGGGAGGGGAGAATGGGGAGTGACTGCTATTAAGTATGAAGTTTCTTTTGGGGGTGATAAAATATTTTGGAATTAGACAGTGGTGATGGTGTGAATATACTAAAAACCACTGAATTGTACACTTTAAAATGGTGGATTTTATGGTTATATGAATTTTGTCTCAGTTTGAAAAAAAAAATCTTCCAACAGTCTGTGGCCATCCCAAAAAGATATTTTAGTCCAGAAATAGGGTCAAAAGAGGGCAGAGAAAATGGTTCAAGCCTCTAAAATCCAACCTCACAAAAATGTAAGGTAGATAGCAATTCACAGGAGACCACTGCTTTGGACAGCCACAGTGGGGGACAACAGCTCCCGGACCCGATTGGAAGGAAGCTTCCCCAGAGCTCGTGGCCATTATAGGAAGGAGTGGTTGGAGGAAAAGGCACACACTGGATGCTTCGCAGCTCACACTAGGTAGGAAATCTACCCTCCTGTTCCCAGAAATACTACAAAGGAAAAGCTGCAGTTACGAAGATATTCCCGCACTCTCGTGAATGCAGCACTTCAGCTGACTCCAGGAGAGCTTCAGGACCCGGCACTGCCGAGAGTCAGTTACCGCGTATGCGAGGGCCTGGGTAGACCAGTTAGTCCTTAGTGGTCTAGTTTCAGGAGCCTGAACTTCCGCCCACTGGGGGTTGTGCTGAATATCTGTTTGGTCTACCCGAGGACCTGCCTACTCTGTGAATAGTGTACCTGTCCTTCTGAGCAACACCTTATTTCCTCCACTTTCACCTGGGGGCTGTAGTGAAGCTGCCAATTTCTAATCTTCATCCAGTCAGCCATGGGGAGGGGTGGGGCACGCGGCCCAAGATGGCCCAATCCGAGCACTTCCAGGGAATTTGCTGAAGAAACGGAGGGAGAAAGCCCTTCTTCTGGTGGCAAAGCTGAGGTGATGCTAGCCCAGAAGCCACACAAGCCATCTTCCCTGGGGTGGGAAGCTGAGAGCACAGAACTGGGTCGTCTGCTCTCCAGTGCCTGTGCTCACAACTTCTAGAAAGAACTCAGGTCCTTGAAGCAGATGGGGTTACTTTTGTAAAACACAATAGAGAAAGTTTGGCAAAGTCAAAAGACGACAGATGGATGGGGAAGGTATTTTATTAAGAACAAAAAACAACTTTGGGGAAAGGCTAAGTAAGCTTTGGAATCAATAATAAATAGAATGTTCCCTTCTTTCTGTCTCAGCCGGAGGTCGTGAACGGCATTACGGTGTTGAGCCAGCAAGCCCCAGAGCTCGGCTTGACACCTGGCCCGGCTGTTTAGCAGCTGTGCGACCTTGGGCAAGTTGCTTAACCCCTTGGGGCCTCAGCTTCCACCTGTGTGCATGGGTGGTTATAACACTCCCCTCATAAGGTCGTGTGAGACTTACATGCATTAACACGTGGAAAGTCCTGAGAACAGCGTCTAGCCCATAAGTGCTTAAGAAATGTTGTCTATTCCTCTCTTCCCCATGTCTAAGAGGAAAAAAAATAAGGAAACAAGTTGGTAGAAAAAAATTTAGGAAGAACATTCCACATCTGTTGTTTCTCTCAAGATTTTCAGTAAGTATCGAGTAACAGGGAGGTTGAGGTCATGTCCCTGAGGGGTGCCAGTGAGGGGATCGTCTGTACTGCTCCTTCGGACACTGCAGCACACCCCACACTTCCTCCTCCTCACAGCAGCACTGCTTACTGTGGCATGGGGCCACAAATGACTTCTGCAGTAGTAATTAACTGCTAGTACTTCCATGTCGTGTCTGTGCCAGAGCAGTTCTTTGAGCTTTAAATATATTAACTCGTCTGATCTCACAACAGCTCTGTGTGTAGGTACTAGTATATTATCATTCCAATAAGGAAATGGCCACAGAAAAGTTAGGTCAGTTACCAGGGTCACTGTACAAGTGCCAGGGTTGGGACTAGAAACCAGGCAGTATAGGCTCCTGCAGAATACAGGCTGTTAACTCTACTGCTTTTGTGAGTACAGAACTAACCAGCATTGCTACTGGGGGACTCTCCTCTCCAGGGTGGGTATGTTTAGCCTCTCTTCCCACAAAGTTGTCAGACCACAGTGAAGGGTGTGGCCTCTTCGGAGCCTAACAGAGGAGATAACATTGCTCTGTGTGAGGGGTGCTCTCTTAAGGTTGAGCACCTCGGAAGTCTGCCGGCTACCTTGGTAAGGATTCCACCCGTGCTGAGTGGCAACCAGTGGGTGTCTCCTCTCTGTACGTGCACACACACACGCACACATGCACGCATACTTACACACACATGCACATGCTATTTAGGAGATACAAGAAAAGAACTCTCCAGCCCCTGGGCTCAAGGTATAAGAAGGATTTGTCACCTGCAATCACTTGGGTCCTGAGCAGAGTGGCAGCATCTACAGTCCTGTTGGCCGCCAAGGAAGCTGCAGTCGTGTCACTCAGCTCTAACAGTGTTGTCCTTTCCCTTCGCTCCTCCTCCGTCCTTCACTAGACCTTAAAGGTTAGGGGAGTGGACCGCACGCCCTACCTGGGAGATGTCGCTGTTGTCGTGCATCCTGGGAAAAAAGAGATGGGAACACCACTTGCAGACACTCCTACCCGGCCGGTCACCCGACACGGGGGCATGCGGGACCTTCATGAATCCAGCTTCAGCCTCTCTGGTAAGAGCCGGGGCGTGGCGGGAGGAAGTTGGGGGAGGCAGGAGAGGAAAGGCGGGGGTCGGGGGAGGAAGGGCCCACCCAGGCAGTGGGACTTAGTCCTGCTTTTCCCCTGCATCTCCTCCCTCCCCCAGCCCATGTCCAGTGGTGAGTACCGGTTCCAGTATTGGTGGGGATGGGAGGCTCTCCTTGCCCATGGGCACCAGCCACTCCAACAGGCCGTGGCTCTCCCATGGTTTCTAAGTACAGATATTTTTGTCCCTTGAAACATCTTGAGGGCCATGCACACAGGGGGTGCCCCAGAGGTGATCTGAGCTCAAGAGGTCAGCCCTGTGTGTGGTTCATGGGACTGCACTCCATCCCCCTGCCACCGTCCCCCACAGCCCACACCTCACAGCCTCTCTGCAGCGCCCCATCCTGCTGTTCTGTGTCCCTGTCCTCCCTCCCCGTTCCACACTCGGCTCCACCCCGGCCCTGTCGTCGCCTTCTTTTTTGCCAGGAATTACATAGACATCATTAATTTGCAGTAAAATGTTTTCTCTCGTGACCTCTGATTCCCAGTTTCTTCTCTTAGCTTTCTGTCCCCTGGGTCGTGTCCTGGCCCCAGTCCATCTACAGAATCTGAATTCCTTGGAAATGTCCTATCCCAGTTCTTAATGCCAAGATCTGCTGTTTCCTGCCCCTCCCACCAACACCAGCACGCCCAGCCGTGGGCTCCTCTAGGTGGTGGCTGTCTGTGCGCAGGGGTTTTGTTATTGTCAACAACACATATCTCAGGTGCTCTGTGGGATTCGAGGGGTGGGGGTCATTCCCTCATAAACGGTGACCCTCAGTGGAGAACAAACAGAGGCTGGGGCCTTCGGGCAGCTTCGGTGGAAACTGTCACCATCACTTGGAGGGGTAGGGAGCCTGGGTGTCCCTGGACACAGCTGAGCCGCTTTCAGAACCAGCCCAGAGAGGGACCAAGCATCCGCTCTAAGGCTGGGCTCGAGCAGGCACAGCAGGAGAAGCAGGAGCCAGTCTGTGCACCCGGCTTGTGGAGTGCACTGGGGAGGTGAGACCCGTACACAAACCATCCTCAGACGAGAGGCGGAAGCAGAGGCTGAAACAGGGGCTGCCGAGGGCGCGGGGCCTGCGTGCTGAGCTTCCTGTGTGCCCAGAAGACACAAGGTTCCTGTTGGAGGTGCTGGTAGCCTGCGGGGAGTGGTCCTCTCAGAGCCAGTTTCATCGCTGAAATAATGGTCTCCCACCCTGAGGGCCACTGCCACTCCCACCATCGATGGGACGTGAATGCTAGGAGCCAGAAAGGGACTCTTGTATGAAGGCCTTGTTCCCGGACACTCAAGCCTGTCAGCCCTGCAGGATGGACTCCCACGGCTGCCTGGACATGGCCCCGCCTGCAGCAGCAAGACCCCAGAGCCACCTCTTGTGCTCCCAGACAAGAGCCAGGACTGGGCAGAACCCCCTCAGACACAGCAAACATCAGACTGCCTGTCACCTCCCCTCCACCCCAAATCTTGTCTGTTCTCAGTGGTAAGGGCTGAGGAATGTCCCACTGTGCCCTCTGGGACACGAAACCCTCCCTTTCTTACTAAGTCTTGGGGTGTCAAGATATGGAGCCTTTCAGATACGGTTCTTTCATTTTCCAGAACAACAGAGCACCTCTCTTTTTTCTGCCTTTCTTACTCACCGAGGTCTACGTACCAAGGCCCGCAGGCTAACAGGCTGGTCCAGGGCCTGCATGCATGGCGAGAGACCAGGTGCGAGGCTTGGGAGCAGTGAAGTCGGCATAGTGGGGCAGTTAACAATGTAGGCTTTGAATCAGGAAAACCTCGATTCAAATCCAGGCTCCAGCACTTACACACTGTGTAACACAGGGCAAGTTACTTAAGCCCCTGAGCCTCAGTTTCCTCATCTGTAAAATGGGGTGGCATTGTGCGGACTAAACTAGATAACACACACAGAGGGCTTAACTCAGCCCCTGCGCGTACTGAGCCCCCAGTAGATGCTGGCTGTGGTTTGTCACCCAGGCCCGAGAGCCCGCTCACCCTCTGTGCTTCCTTCCCTGCAGGTTCCCAGATCGATGACCATGTTCCAAAGCGAGCTTCGGCTCGGATCCTCGCTCCCCCCGGAGGCAGGTCAAGTGGCATTTGGTAAAGGCACTGCCCAGCCCCCCACGTGAGGATGCACCGCTGCCGCCAGCCCGCACACCCTCCGGCCACAGCTGCAGCGGGCAGGAGAGGCTGGGCTGGGCAGCACACCACCTGAGGGGGGCCCTAGGACCCCGGGAGCCCTCCCATGTCTGAAACGTGATTCACTGTGCTTCGAGCCAACCCTAACAGGCACTTTGAGATGTGTTCCTCCTACTTGGTCCTTTCCTGCCTTGGCCTCGGCCGGCTTTTCTGGGGCCCAGGAAGCCCACACTATGCACAGAGCCCACTGCATAGAGCCCTGGCCAGCCCCTCCTCTCACACTGCCTCCATGTGCTGGCTTTGGGAAAGCCCAGACTTTAGTGCCCTGCCCCCTGCCTGACCGGCCGGTTGTCCAGAGCACTTTAGCAGATGTGTTTGAAAAGTGAAGGCCTCCTCCCCCACTCCCTTAGGCCCCATGGTGACATTTCCCAAGTCAGACAGGTGTCAGCTTCCTAGCCATGCCCAGGACGTCCAGTCCTCCCAACTCACCTCTGGCCTTGTGTGTGCGGTTGGGACACCCTGGGTGTGGGTGCGGTTGGGACACCCTGTGCCCTTTGCCAGCCTCCTCCACTCCCCACCCACGCCCTGTGGGAGTCACAGGCCCAGAAGGGTAGCTGGGCGGGGCGCGAGGCTGGTGCCAGGCGCGTGTAAATGGTTTTGTTTTGCACGTTTGGTTTGCGCAGTGGTTTGGTTTGACTTGTTTGTGCATCCTGTGAAAAATAACGGTGCTTCGTGTCACTAGCATAGAATAGCAACAGGAGTAGATGTGGTCCTTAGGAGATGCTGCACTCGACACCAACCAGACAGCACAGGGCAGAGACGGTGGGGGCCCCTCTCCTCCCCACCTGGGGTCCTCCGGGCTGCCAGAGGCCCCAGCCCAGGCCTTTCCCTTCCCCTTCCCTCCCAGTCTAGGTCCCTGTGTTCCGAGGGGGTGCCTGGCATGCCAGCCCTGAAGATGCTGGCCCTTCAGGCAGCAGGGTGACTTTCCCCGTCTCTGCCCTTGGTCACTCCCAGCACTAACACCACCACCCCCCCACACACACACACAACTTCCCGTAACTTCCCCCTGCTGGACAAAGGCCCGGCGCTACTCCATGTGATTGGCAAGAGGCCTCATGCCTGCTGAGAGAGGGGAGTGGGAGAGGGCTTGCCAGACACCAGGGAGGGAGACTCTAGGCCCGCGGGACCCGGCTGCAGAACCTGCGCCTTGCTGCACAGGTGCCGTGGTCTCCCGCGGTCAGCTGCACGCCCTCACCGGCTTGTGGCCTCAGCTCCTCCCACATCCAGTTGGGCCCTACCTGCCCCTGTAGCTCAGCGGATGTCTCCATGGAAACACTAGAGGCAGGGTGATTTCCATCCACCCCAAGTGATCAGCCACCTCCACTTGTTAGACCTTGTCTCCCCCTCGGGAAGTAATTTCATGTTGCTCATAAGGTTTGCATGAGACTCCTGGACTCTTGACTACTGGTCATACCCTTGCACATTTCTATAGTGCTTTCCATGTTTTCAGACCACTTTCATATATGGCCTCTCACTTGGTCCACATGACGATGCAGCATGTATTATTCTTCCCATTTTACAGATGAGGAAACTGAAGCCCACAAAGTTTAGGCCCTCTGACCCCAGAAGTGTTCATACTGTCTACCCCCACCATGGAGGGGAGGTGCAGGGTGACATCCATTGTAGATCCCACCAGAGGATTTAACCAACTAGACGACTTACTTTCCTGGTAGGCATTCTGCTTTGTTTTGCACAGGTAGATCGATTTTTCTCATCTTCGTTGTAAACAAACTAATGCATATTCTCTGTTCGAGCCAAGACTAGTCCCATGTTGGGGGCTTGCCACGTGGTTTGAGCTGCATCCACACCCTCACTTCTCCCTTCGCTTCCAGTTTCCTCACTCAGGGGCTGAGAGGACAGAGGTGGTAACCCAGGGAGCAGAGACAGTGAAGGGGCTCATGGCAGGTGGCAGCCATGGGGACAGGAGGTAGGGACCCGGGCCTGGGAAAGCTACCATAGGTGAGGGAAACCGTGACACTGACTCCTGGTACAGTGCACATCATCTTTATCCCTTTCATCCCTCGCTGGGTCATAAGCCTTGGGCAGATGCCAAAGAGCCAAGCAGTGGTGGTGGCCATCTGGGCAGAGTGTCCCTGCTTGGGCCAGGACAGCTTTACCTTCCCTGAGTGCCTCCGCCCGAGAGATGCGTGATCGTGGCTCTGGGAGACCACATCTTGGAGTGGTCCTCTGTAGACCTTCCACTTCATCCACCCCTAGCCCTTACATAGACCCTGCCCTCACCCAGGAGCTTCTAGATGGAAATCAGGAGGTTCAAGGAGCCAAATGAGCGGTCATCCCCCACCACCCACTCCGTGCCCCGTGCAGAGCTCCAGCCAGCACCATCACCAGCTCTGTCACTGGCTCCTGGTTGGAATAAAAGGGTCTCTGGTTGCACTGAATGCAGCTCTCAAACTGGTCTTGTACTTGCTGAATAAATACTGTTGTTATTGCCTTAGCTGCTCTCTAGGTTTGTGGGGTTAAGTTACCAGAAAATTGTGCTACTGTGTGTGTGCGTGTGTGCGTGTGCGTAGTGCTAGGAGTCCACAGTAGGTCTCTGTCAGGCCAGTGTCGTGATGAGGGCTTTTCCGATACTGACCCGGAAGCCACAGAACCACGCAGAAACCCAAAGCCCCTCCAGCTCCTGAGGCGGCAGGCACAGCCTGGGGTCAGGGAGGAGCCGCCAGCTCCCCAGCGCCCAAGCGATTTCCCACTCTTCTGTAAATGTCATGGTGCTAAGATTGTGTCAACCAAGACGACACATGGTCCTGTGCTTTGGCCACCTGTTTGAGGCAAAAACAAAACAGCCCGACACGTTGTGTTCTGGTGCAGGTTTGTATTAAACTGTAGCTACTTCTCACTTGGTCTCTGTTGTGTTTCTTCCAAGAAGAGGGAGTCTGGCAGGGGATGTCTACCGTGGCTGGGGCGAGGCTTCAGTACTAAGAAAACTCAGCTCTGGTCCATCTCTGCCATTGGGTGGCAGCTCACTGGGACACCTGAGTAGGGTCTGGAGATTAAAAAAATACGTTGAGGGACAGGAACCTCAGTGGCCAACAACTACGAGTCAGCCCTCCCTCCTGAGAGATTCACTGTGCTTTTTGTTCCCAGAATTTCTGATGGGAACAAAACCAAGGTTTTTGGTGCCAGATTCCCCAGAACAAGGTTGCTAAGCCATCTGAAACAGAAATAATTAGGAGGAAGCATTAGATACAAAAGGGAAAAAACTACATTGCCCCCCCCCCACCTACCTTGAGTCACCGATTGTCTTGGCTGCCACTTTGGAAGCCCATAGCCCTCTCTCCATCCAGCAGAACCCTTTGCTGCTGGAACTGTGGCCTCATAAGATCACACTAAAGAGTGAATGAAACTGTTGCCTTTAGTACTGTGGGGTCGCTTGTACTTATTTCCTAACCTCAAAATTCAAAACCCTGAAGAGGGAATGCTGTTGGTGGCAGGAGAACTGCCATCAAATGAGCAGCCCATCTACAAATGTGACTGAAATACGGGAGCACTGCCGCCGGGGCCAGGCTCTTGGCTGTGATGAAATGGGCTGTGTGTACCAGCTCTGGTGGCTTCTAAGCCAGGTGTGAACACGGGGTGCTGGCTTGAGATGGATGCCAAGTCCCTGGGATGTACTGAGCCAAAGCGTCTCTGTTACCCTATTTCCCATAGCACGAGAGCACACCAGAATTGGATCAACTGCCAAAAACCCATAGTAACTGTTTGGATGAAAAAAATAACATGGCCACACATCTGGCACGCCATGTGCATGGCATCCGGCAGTCTACAGAGAAAAAATAAAAGATACCCAGGAAGACACAGGATGCCTTTGTATGTATGTAGTTGTACAAAACTAAGAGATCATAGACTGAGACCTTAAAATAAGGCTTGATCATTTACGGGAATCTGCATTTGGGGAAACCTGAACCAGTCAGCCGCTGGCAGCCATCAGCCTCAATTTCTCAACTCAGAGTCACAGGTTGACTTCTGTATACAGGTGCAAGCTGGGTGAGAGTGAACGGGGGCTCTATTAATAATTATCTGAGGCAGTAGACTTAAACCAGCATTGTCCGGGGCAAACCAGGGCATCTTAATACTTAGAATTGCTTGTGGTCAGTGGAGGACAGAGGGTCTCATGACAGACACCCCCGGTATGAAGAAGAAACCTCATGGCACGCAGGGGCAGTAGACCTTAGAGTCCTCAGTTAATAAACGTCTGCTTGACAGTGTTGTGATAACATACATTTGAAAGGGCGCTTAGTGCTTTTCCAGTAGAACACTAAAGAATCTGGCATTTTGTTGACACTTGGTACTGTCTTAGGATGGAAGCTGAGTTCTTTACTTTCTTCCCCTTGTGGATTTACAAACTACACGTTTATACCCAGAGGGACCAGATGCCCCGGGTTGCCCAGGACAATGCTGGTTTAAGTCTGTTGCCCCAGAATAATTATTAACAGAGCCCCCTTTCACTTTCACACGTGTCCTGGTTTGGACAGTAAGTTACACGGTCACCTGATGTACACCTCTACATTCACTGGGCTATTGCTATGCCTGTCCAGGAGTTAATTTTTCCATCACTGAAAGACAAGAGGTGGCCTAGGGGGTGGGGACGTGGAAAGCTGGGTTCTTCCACAGCGACTGGTGACTTAGCGCTTTCCCGCAACAAGCTCTTGGAGGCTTGGTGAGTCAGCACTGTGGATACCACAGGCTGGTGAAGGCCTTGGGATGCTTTTCTAAGCTTTCCGGTTGACCTTATGGACCTTATTATCTCATTAAAAGTTGTGAGTCTACCAAATTCTGTCACTTGCTTTTAAGGGCCTTTGATTCCATTTATGAGCTTAAACACTTTTCAGCATTTTAAATGACATGTAAAATTTTATTTCCCTTTTAAATATTTTTGCTAAGTGCAAAATAATTATTACCAATCTAATAAATTAAACATAAATATAGTGAGTTAAAATCTTAGATGTTTCGATGCTAAGCATACAGTTAGTAAGATTTCAATTTAAAATCATGTTTTAAATTATACATTTTAAATTAGTTATGAGGTGCTCTAACAGGCCAAAATTTTCTTACAGAAATACATAAAATGCCAAACATTCAGAGAGTCC